TTTAAGGGGTTAGAGTATTTTGCTGGAAAAGAAAAACTTCCTGATATTGGAGACATAACAAGACAAACAATTTATAATGGCATTCAGAGATATTTTTGAAGAACTGCATTGGGACTTCGAATCAATAAAGTTAGCCATGTTGTGTCTGCTTGGGAAAAGTCTGTTCCTAGCAGAAGATGCAAATAGGCAACAAAGTCTTATCTGAAGAATAATTAAGGAGGAATTAAAAATGACAATCTCAGTGAGCAATTGGAATATATTTTTGGTTGGATTTACACAAAAGAGGATGATTGAACTATTAAAGAAATTCTAAACATGGATCAACAACTATCTGAATGAAAATAACAAGATTGTTTTTTTGCCAAAAGGAGCACAAAGTCACTATTTGATCAGGGTTAAAATGGGACATGTTCTTTTGCATACTTCCTTTTGGATTTGCTAATATGTGGACTGGAAAAATGAATACTGGAACTACTTCATGCCTCTAAATATGGATTTGATTATAGATGAGATATGGAATGTTTCTTTGAAAGGGGTATGTTGTTATTTGAGATAACAGATAACAGATTTGCTGATATCTACACTGGAAAAATGTATATTGAATTTGTTTGCAGTTAAGCCTTTTAAGCCTTCTTCCTTACAGTTACTTTATATATTCTAATCTGTCAACACTTAAATTGACTTTGTATCTAATTGTCTTCTCACTCAAGGTACACTAACAAATGTTTGTGATCTTGTTCTCTTAAAAGAGAAATTGTCCCTCTTTCTCATGTTAAACTTTAGTGTCTTGTTCACAATAGGATAATGGGACTGCTCTATGGCTTTTAAATGTGAATTTCCATACAAAGTTGAGATGTGGAGTGTTGAGTTTAATATATGTTACTTAATTATACTATATTAGGGCTCGGTTTAGACTTTTGCTGGATTAGAAAGGGCATTACTTATTGGATGTTCCTAGAGTTAAGAGATAAACAATAGGATGAAGAATTTTATATCTGTTAAATAAGAGAAGATGAAGAGATAGTAAAATTGTTTATACCTATCGTAATGAGGATTTGCTTTCTTAGGGTTTTTTTCTCTATTTTTCTTCTTTGCTTTCCTGCACCTTATGTGTTTTCTTTTTCAGTTATATATATGTATAGCCATTTTATATGTTGCCTTTGTTATATTTGCTGTATTTATTTATCAGCACAAATGCACATACATACATACATACATACACACACATGCATACATACATATATATACATATATGTATTGTGTCACAACCCCTGGTATGCCAAAATATGGGAGGGAGCATACTGCTTCCCTTTTCTGTCTTTCGGCTCAAATCCTGTGTGGCTGGCTGTGTGTCCATTGTTCTTTTGTGTTGTAACAACCTGGGTGGTGGGTGGGGTTCGTTTGTTGACTAGGGCTGGTTTCCAGATGTCTGGTAGGCGGGCATGAGAAATTTCCTTTCACTGGAGGCAATACTGTCCATTGTCAACTGCAAGAAGATACGCCTCCTAATGTCCTTAGCAGTATGCATAAAAAAGCTAAACACGTTCAGACTTAATTCTTAGATTAAGTGGCATTGAATTGCTGAATTGCTCTTGACATCAACTGGCATGGATATACTAGGAATTAACCTTGATTTTGGATTTTTTTCACATCTGGGATATATAGTTGGCTATTCCAAGATCGGACAACTTTCACATCCTTCAAATATTTAGGATTTGTTGCTACTACAGGCACCTCTCAACTCACAACAGTTCATTTAGTGACCAGCATCACAACAGCACTGAAAAAAGTGACTTATGACCATTTTTCCCACTTAGACTATTGCAGCATCAATGTTCAGATGCTTGGCAAGTGACTCTATTTATGATGGCTGCAGTGTTCCTTGATCACGTACCCACCTTTTGCGACCTGACAAGCAAAGTCAACGGGAAGCCAGATTCACTAAACCACATTACTAACTTAACAACTGCTAGGATTCATTTAACAATTGTGGCAAGAAGACCATGCAATGGGACAAAATTCACTTAACTGTCTCACTTAGTAACATAAATTTGTGGATCAATTGTCCTAAGTTGAGGACTACCTGTACAGTATCTAATCACTACCTACAGTGGCGGAAGAGTTCCAGAACATTTTAGAGCTGATTGAAAATATTTAAAAAGCACCAGTTTCTTATCTCTTGGCTATTTTGCACTAGAAATTGAAGGATGGGGAAATGAATACATTTTGAGCTCATTTCTAATCTGCAGTCAGGATGAGTCTGTCTTCAACTTAAAATATGTTTGAGAGAAAAATACATGCTAAAACAATGTTAAATCACCTGAAGCCACTCTAAAGGTACACAAATAACCTTTAACAGATTATTTAAAGCTAACTGCATTATAGTATTGTCTCATTCCTTTTCATTAAAATCTTTTGTTTCTCCAAATGTAGCCCACTAACTTCATTTGACTCTGGTATTTAAGGAGCACAATCTGGTTAATAAAAATGTTTTGCCGTATTTACTTTTGTGACACACACACCTTGCTTTGACCAACTTACAAGGCTGTTTCTTCAGAGAAGCATGAGACTAGACAGCTACGTTTCCGAGCTGATGGGTAACAATTTTCTGGTTTCAAATTAAAGAGAAAATGAAATTAGTAGATTAATTGTTTGCCGTGTTTTGGTAGGTGTTATGTCAGCTGTCTTAAGTCTAGCAGCCAATTGAAACCTCAACCTGAGCCATCCTGTCTAGGAGGTGGAGCTCCATGTTGGACTTTGCTATCCATCGAATGTCAATCACATTAATTTTAAATTACTGCTGTACAGCCTGGTGTCAAAATGATTAAAGCATGAAGTAGAAAGCAGAGAGCTACACATTTACCTTGCAATTACAAGGACATTTAATTTTTTTTATCCTGCTTCAGCCTTCACTGTGGAAATCTTAAAACATTTTCCCCTGGTGTACATATGAGATCAAAGTTCTAAGATTAGATAGAAACAAATCCAACTTTAGAATGCATCAGTAATATTCCACATACCAAATTCAATTGTCTTGCACGTTCAGCCTAAATTGAGGGAGTATAAAGGCAAGAATAAAGAGCAATCTTTTTATGTCTTGCAATATCATACTAGGCTAAGCATGTTGGATTTGTATGTGTACCTATGTATTTGCATTTGAAGCTGAAGAGAGAAGGGGGATGTAATGTAGGTATTACACTGTTTTTTACGAAGTCCCTGCTCTAAATTGAAATACGCTTCCATGACTGAAGGGAAGCTCCTGCAGCTTAAAGTTTGTTGACTAGGTATCAGCAGTTTATCAAGTCTTCTTATTTTGACAAAGAAAATTGATTTAACAATGTACTATGTGTACATATGTATTTTATTGCCTAAAAAAAATACTCAGGCAATGGAGAGCGTGTTTGGAAAAGACAAGCTAATTTATACAGAGTATAAATATTACTACATATTATGTATAAATAGTTAATTTACTCTGAGTGTGGTTAAATCTATACTATATATGAGGGAAGTACTAAAAAGTTTAGAGGGGCTCAAAGAGTTCCAGTGATATAAAATATCAGGAATTTTAAAGGAAGATGGTTGGGATTGAAAATACTTAATGACCACAGAGAAAACTTGGGGAGCGTATAATGATATACCCGAAAAAAAGCATGGCTGGTAACCCTGCAAGTAGGAGCCAAGGGCTTTATTACACCAGCATTAAGGCTGGATGTCCACAGGTAACCAAGGCCAATCATGAGTTACTGTGCACTATTTGGACCTAAAGCAGGCAAATGTGCACTGGATCCAGTGTGATGCAAGATATGAAGCACCTTTGCCCAAATATTGCACACCTTTTCATGCTTGTCATTTATACAAAATGGTTAATGAGAGACACCACATAGTCCATTGGCAGAAGAATGTGAGTGTATTAATGCAGTATATATTACTAATTCTTTTTTTGCTTTATGTTTCAGGGAAACTTCTTGAATGCAATAGTAACTTATTGTACTAAATTAAGATTTACTGTAGCTGGAATGATTTGGTTCAGGTAATTTTTTCTCTCTTCATGAATCTTTTTATGGTACTTGTCTTCTACTTGGGCTAGGCCTTCTGATTTATATCCAGGCAATGAATGAATTTGTGACAGCTTCTACCAGAACTTAATTTCTATGGTAAATACCAGAATTCACGGTAGCTGTGAGCATATAGTATGCTTATTTCATTGACTGAACCCAAGTTCCTAGGTTTGCACAACATACTGGAACTGGGTTTGCACAATGTATCTGCCTAAAATATAGCTGGCTAATCTGCAGACCAGTATGCTCTGCCATAGGTTTTTTCTAGGTAAAAGAGACAAAGAACAAGAGATACTATTATGGTCCATACTGGATAACTGATTAACTAAACAATACCCAAAGGAAAAATGTGCTTCATTGATTACAGAAAAGCCTTGGATTGCGCCAACAAGTGTAAAATGCCTTTCGGCAAATGGGAATCTCATCCAAAACCTATACACAGGACAGGAAGCCACAATCCAGATTCATGACCTATATGCTAAATATGCTTTGAGGGAAGCTGGAGCGGAAGACAAGTATGATCTTAAACATGGAAGAAAAAATATCAATAATCTGTTATGCTGATTACACATTCTGATAGCTGAAAATGCAAATGACCTACTAATGAAAGGCAAGCACAGTGGAGAAAAAATGGCATTAAGGTTAAACATGATGACCAAACTACTGCCAATGGGTCAGCAACTAACCTTAACAGTGACAAAAAGAAGTTGAAGTTTGAATGATTTCTGCTTTTTAGCGTCAATTATTAGTGGTTGGTTATCTATATACTACCTTGAGTTGTAAAAAGAATAAAGATAGGATATAAATCAAATAAACAAATAGAAAAGGAATCAGCAGTCCGGAATCAGCAGTATGCAAACTAGCATTGGTAAGCTAGCAATCAAGGCTTTGGAAAAGATGGCATGATACGTCTATCATTAAGATCTTTATTGTTTTAAGATTTATTCTGGATATTCTTCAATGTCTGTAAGCTGCCTCAAGCTGCCTTCAATGAGATTTGCAGCACTCAAGTTTTGACAAAGATCTTTCACAAATATCAGAAATACATAAGCAATTATTTTCTTTGTGACACACTACAAAATTGAAAGCAAGACTTTGAAGAAGCAGAACAGAAACAGTACAGATTGTTTTGAATGTTGGTGTTACACAATGTGTTAAGAGGGCAAAAGGTCAGATTGATCCTTTAAAAGTTATGGACACCAGCAAAGGAATACTGATGTGCCAATCAGCAAAGGAATACTGATGTGCCAATCAGATGTTTGGCAATTAGAGATGTGGCAGCAGCACTGGAACTGGCAGTATCCATGAGACTTGCAGATGGTGGTGTTGCTGTCTTTTGGAGTAGAAGCAGCTGCCAAAAGCTTATCTGTGGTGGAACCTTCCTGATTGTGGTGAAGTCTGCTGGCAATGGATTATTTTTCAAGGAACACCAATTGGTCACACGAGGCTACTTGGTAAACTGGCTCGTTCCTGAGAATATTATGGACAAACAGGAAAGATGAAAGGAAATAGAAATATACAACCAGCAGCCAGGTGAATGAACTGAATTACAGGGAGACTTTAAAATACAAGCCGGGAAACTCACCCTGGGAAAAGTCCATCTATGTTGATATTAAGAATTGATTCTGGGTAGACAGGTAAATCAGTCAATGCCTTGCCCACACAGCCCCCTGAATAACGTCTCTGACCTTCCACTTTCAAAACCTTTCATTTGCTTTTTCCTTGCCTAATTCAACTCCTCATCCAAACTCCACAGATAAAGCCTTCAGGGAATTAAACACCTACAAAACAGAAATGTAAAATAGTGAGAGATGTAATCTCTGCCAGGAAACTTCATCTGAACTTGAGCTAACCTTCTTGCCTTCCATATACATTTATGCAAAGGAACTGCATTTCATTCCATATAGCCTTCCGCCTCCCCCTCCACCCCCCCAAAGCAAAAAAAAACAAAAACAAAAAAAACCCCGCCACACCTCCTTGCCTGCTTCCCCCAGTTTAGGTACCCATATTACTGTACCCATTTTTTCCGCTTCCTTTTGGCAAGATCTGGCACCAGAGGGCAGCAAAGGGAGAGTTTTTCCTTCCCTCCTTGCAGTTGGGCCATTTTCCCTCTCGGTTGTGCTAAATGCTTCTGTAGCGAATGTTTCCATTTGCAAAGGCGGCCTCCCCTCCCCCCAGCGCAGTTTCTCTGCCATTAACCCTCTGCAGTTTGCAGCCAGCTTCTTCCCCACCTCCCAGCTGACATGCAGCTTGGTGATGGGATAAATTGAAGGTCTCTGAAAGGAGAGGAGGGGGGGGAGTGCGTGTGTGTGTAAGAGGGGAGGGAGCAGGGAGAGCTAGCAAACTAAATGTAGAGAGAAGCGGGGAGGGCGCTTTCAAAAGCTTTTTTTTTTTGCGCTCAATTTCCAAATCCGCAGGAAGCGGGGCTGCTGCTGCTCCTCCCCCCCGCGCTTTTTTTTTCGGAGGGGGGGGGGAAAGAGGCTGCTTGCTTGCTTAACTCTTTTGGGGATGGAGGCGCGCGTGGAAAAGTTGCATCCTTTCGTTGGGAAGGGCGATCTAGCCTGCTTTTTTGGGGGGGTGTCAGCATGAGGGGCTGCTTCGGTTGGCTGATCGGGTTCAGGCTTACTCTCCCCCCACCCTCTTTTTAGTCTTGGAAACGGGGGGGTTCCACCCATGGCCCCCACCTCAGGAGAGAGGGGGCAGTTCTGTGCTGGAGTCAAACTCCCCGAGACTCCCTTGAGGGAGGGGGTGTCATGCTGCTCTACATGCCTTTTGCCGGGGGGGGGAGCGAGGGGGTGTCTTTGTGCGCTCCTCTTTGGAGGATGGGGAGGAACAGCGCCGCTATTCTCTCTCTGGGGCTGGATTTTTTTGAGGGGGGATGTCAACCGTGTTCCCTTCAAAATGGAGAGGGGGGGGTCGCTTTTCTGCACTCTCCCCCTTCACATATACTCTGAAGGCGCCCCCCCCCCGTAGGACAAGCACACGCTTGGCTACTCCGGAGTTCCGTCCTCGGCCCGCGGCTGAGTTTCACCTTCACCTGACGGACTACCCGCCCACTCCTCTCACAGGGCAGGACGTTCTCCCCGCCCCCGCCGGCCCCACCCGCTCCTCCTAAGCGGGAGTTTCCAGGAAGCGCCGAGCGGCGGTATCGCTCAACCGCCTCTCCTTCGCCAGAACCCTCCGCCGACGAGCCTGTGGCAACCACGTCAAAGAGTCCCCGAGACCCAACTCGTCTTTTTTTCTTCTTTGCTCCCCCTCCCGCCACGCCAACAGAGGGAAAAGGCCACTTGGGAGTCCTGACTGGCCTTTGGCGCGCCCTTTTGCTGCCGGGGAGGAGGAGAAGTATGCGCCCGTTTTAGATTTGAGGGGGAGGGGAAAGAACGAGTCCCGGGCGCGGCGGAAGCATCCGGAGGCCCGTGAAGGAGCGGGGAGTGGGGGCTCGTGAGAGAGAGAACGAGCCGAAGAGCTCGTTTAGCGAGCGGGAAAACGCGGCTCGGAGCTGGGAACAGCCTCCCGCCCTCCCCCCTCCGCTCCCTCGCCGGGGGCGCTTCTCAGCTAGTTTCAAGAGACGCCAAGCCCAGCCGAGGTAGCGAGCGGGCTCCGGTGACGAGCCTGCCCTCGTCTTCGCCCAGAGCCAGGGGGAGGCGGCCTCGTTCCTCCTCGCCGCGAGCCCGAGTGGGCCGCTTCCAGGCAGCCCTCCCCGCACCCCGAGTGCCTGCCTCGGAGGGCCACTTCCCTGATGGAAATAACGAGCTATTGCAGCTCGCCACGGTGGACCTGCGGGCTGTTTTACACCCGCCTCAGGGAGGTGTTTCCTTCACCTGGAGTAGTTTTAAAGATTCCTTTTTAAAAAAATAATAAAAACACATCAAAAAATACAAGCGCATCAAGAAATTGCAGCTTCCTGCAATAACATCAGCGGAACTGCAAAAAACTGCGCTACTAGGAACATATTTTAAGATACTTGGTCGATGCCTCGGACGCTGCCAGCACCCCATATCAACCATTAGCCCCAGTCAATGGTATTTGTGACATATCTTTAAATGTTAACTTGACACTTGAGTTTCATGTTTAATGACTAAAAGAAACAATAATAAAAACCGTCCCCTCCCCCAATGCAGGCATTCACTCGCGACGCACCTGATCGCAGAGTGCAAACATTGCCTTAATGTCAGAGTTGCCCCATAGATGGACTGAAACAAAAACGCGGCTTTTTCCTCCCCAGGAGACGCTTCACATGGCCGGAGCTTCTCTGGAAGTGAGTCAGGGTAGACACCCTTCCGATCCGAGAGAGGAAAGAAGAAGAAAAAAAGGAGGGGGGAGCGCCTAGTCCTCCTTTTTTTCAGCCTCTTTCCTTCCCTGTGTAGCGACGTCCCCTCCACGTTGTCCAACAGCCAAGGTCGCCCTTGCTGCAAAAGCGACGGTCGTTGTGTAGAAGCCATTCAAAATGACTCCCGGGCAGGGAGGAGGTGAAAAGTTAGGAGAGGAGTGTGGGGGGGGGAACCCTTGCTTGTAGCAGAATGAAAAATGGAGGTGTGTGTGTGAACCTTGGTCTGAAGGTGAATGTGAGAACGTAGAAAGCCACGAGAAGGAACCGATGGGAACCGTCTCACCTGCGCCTATTTTTCTGCCTTGGATCAGGGGCAAGATTAGGTTTTAAAAGTCACCATCTAACAACGCAGGCTTGAGTTGGCGGCTGACATAGACGAAATGGTTCGGGATTTCGTCTTAAGTCGAAACCGTGAATTTGGGAAAACCTGGTTCAGTTGAACACAAAACCCTGGCAGAAAAAGTGAAGGTGAGGGCGGGAGGGGAGCTGAAACAGAAAGAACCTAGGCATATTTCAGGAAATAAAAACCCTACAGAATTCAGGTAGTTTATTTGCTTTAAATGGGGGCCAAACTTCCAAAGAGATTCCGCGACTTCCCCTGAACTCGTTTTCACCACCAGCCAAGTGGGGAAGAGACTTTTTGCATTGTTCCCACAGAGGCTTCTTTGGCAGAGCCCGTTTTTTAGGTGTGTCAGTGGCTCATTACTGTTTCCCTGTATCTTGGCAGAGTGAACAGCAACTGAGATACATAATAAAGGGAGGGTTTTGTCAGAGTTTACAGCTGCCCAGAACTGTAAGCTATTGGCCTATTGCTCAGCTTTGGCGAAGGTGGCTGAAATGCTTGATAAGAGTGAGTGTCTTCAGATTCAGACGTGTTTTGTTGGACAAAAGCTGGAAAACTTTATTTGGCTTTCTACATTTTCACTTGACCACACTTTTCTAAAACGTAGTCTTGTTTTTAAAGACTTGCAGACATAGTTACTGTATAAGAATGAGGCTTTGTTCATAAGGTGTGCTTGAACTGTAATCCATGGTTTTACAAATCACAACAGCTGAGCACTGCATTGAATCACAGTAATTAATCACATTTTAGCAAAGCACTTTGTGCAGAGATAGTATATTTACATGTTATGTGGACTCCGGAAATTAGGTTGAGTAAAATCTTAAGTACTATAAGCTAGTGATTAACATACCATGCAAACATGCTTATAGCTTAATATTTGTGTGAATCTGGCCTTAATGCTTATTTTGATTTAGCATGTTGTAAAAAACACAAGCATTGTTAAGTTGTTGACTAGTTTATGGTTATTTAATGTATTTTGTGGTTCCTCTTAAGCATACCTTTCTTCCCATTAATTTTGTAGAAACAACAACCTCAATAGGTTTATATTTCTGCTTTCTTCATTAAATTCCAGTTTAAACAGGCAAGTCTAATCTTGTCATATTTGAAATCGTTTCATGGAACCCTTTTACGGGAATCAAACTAAATTAAAATTATACATAGTGATTTTTTTGATCAAAATCTTGGATTTAATTAATTCCCCTTTCCTAATAAAAGGTATCACTTCCTGCTGGATATGTTATTTCCATTGACAATTATATGTTGAGTCTGCTTCCCAGGTAAAGAAAATTAAGATTGTTCAGGCCCATTGCATATAGCACTAGGACGCCACAAATCCTAACTCTGGATTTTTACCAGAATTTCATGTCCTCCAATTAAACTAGCTAGGAGATGGGCAAAGAAAATGATTGGAAGATTTGTTTTCGACTGATTTAGTATGTCTTATTTACTCTATTAACCCTGAGAAATAGGGCAAACCCCCTAAGAATGTTCAAGTTGATTCTTGCTGGTTTTTCTCCTCCCATTTGTAGCTACAAAGGCTTCACATCTTCCTGTTAGTCCTGCTGAACAGAGGAGAGGACAGGATAATTCTCAGGCCTTGCTCTGCATTTCCCCCTCCCCCTCCACTCTTCCCATCCCCCAGCAAGGCTCCCATGACTTGCCTCCCTCCCATTAGTCCTGAAAAGAAGGCTCCCAGCTTTTTCTATGTTTGGTTTTCTCTACCAGCCAAAAACTCCCAGACCCAACCCTGCATCTGCTCGGTTGATTTTGTTGTCACATCTAACAGCTAACACACACAACTGCTCACTGCTTTGGAAAACAAGCATAGATCTGCTTCATAACAATTAGCAATGATGGTTCTTAATTTGTATTTGAATGTGTTGTGCCTGAGATATACTGTTAATGTATAGAATACCCTTGCTAAAAAGTTCCGCCTTTGCAATTATCTTTATAATTCCTTCTGGTTCACCAAACATTTAACCTTTTCTTTTAAAAAATATGTCAGAAATAGTAGATAGGCTTTTTGTTTCTTAATGCATATTTGGTATATTTCAATTATTTCCCCTTCCCCCATCTGTTGAAGCACAGAAGTTATTTCAACACAGATTAGAATCATAAATGTTAATGAAATGCTTGCAGGTTATGTATGCGTAGCTAGAGAGAATGTTTAACCAGTTTTGCGTTTTCTCTCAGCAGACAGATTACACTTGGTAACACTGAAATAGGAGATTCCATTCATGCCATTAATGCTCATGTGGACACATAAATTCTATCAATTTTTTAATCACCATTGGAACTGCAATTACAAACCCCTTATTGGGAAGTAAGTCCCAATGAATTAAGTGAAGCTATTTTTGAGAAAACATAAGAGAGTGCATTGTAAAATAGTTTTTGTAATACAGTTGTTATTTCCTGAAACACAAACCTTGTTAATATCTTCAAGATGAATATGATAGAAATGGTAGTGTATTTGTATGTTATATAGATAGGATCTATTTATATATGTTAAGCTATGCAAGGATCAAGCAACTGCATATTAAGCATTAATATTCATTTTGTTTTTGTCTGTTTTTAAGATTTAGTATGTTGTACAATCTCAGCCTGCTTTAATTTGTGGTTCAGTGATTTGAAAAAAGAAGAAAATTGGTTAATTCAATAACCAGGTGAAATATATCATGAATTGAGCTCCATACTAGAATTATCATATTTATTACCTCAGACAGTGGTTGTCAAACTGGCGGCCTGCAGGCCGGATGCGTCACGCGCAGACCATGCCCAACCCAGCTCCGCAAACGGAAAAAAGATCGCGAAACATCACATGAGGGCAAGCATGACGCCACGAGTTTGACACCCATGACCTAAGAGTTACAAAACCCCAACTACAATTTTGNCTGACATTATATCTTCCTTATTAACTCCAGTATAGAGGGACCCTGTCAGGACCTCAAGCCTGGGGGGACGAGGGGGATCCTTGAGCATGCTCCAGCAAAACACCTTCCCTTATCATTCTCCTGTGTAAAGATTGGGCCTTTTTTACTCCATCCAGTGTGAGTCCAGTTGCTAATCCCCCCCCCTCCTATCAAAGAGGATCCTGGGCACTACAGACAATAGAGAAATGAGGAAGGGAGCTGCTGGCACGAGGGAAAGACAAGTAGCAAAGAAAGAAGAAAAAGCAGCTTTTTTCATTCATGCTGGCTGCTCCATTGCCCTTTCCTCCTTTCAATGCCACACCAGGGAGGCTGCCCCAACCACCATCGCTGAGGCCCTTGCTTCCCCCAAGGATTTCTTTGCCTACCTGACTTCCAGCTCCATTGCATTTTTCCATTGTGTTTCTTGTCATTTTGGGCAGGGAAACAAAGTTTGGGAGACTAAAAAAACCTTTAATCAATCAATTCCAACTTCTTGGGGGAAGGGGGAGATCTCACAAAGTTGGAATTGATTGATTGAAGGTTATTTTTAGTCCCACAAACTTTGTTTCCCTGCCCAAAATGGCAAGAAATGTGATGGAAAAATGCAATGGAGCAGAAATCGGGTAGGCAAAGAAATGTTTGGGGGAAGCAAGAGCCTGGGTGATATTTGGTGGGGCAGGCTCCATAGGGTGGTGCTGAAAGGGAAAAAAGGGCAACAGAGCAGCCACCATGAGGGGAAAAGGTGCTTTTTCTCCTTGCCTGCTGCTTGTCTTTCCCTCATGCCAGCAACTCCCTTCCTCATTCCGGTTTGCATTGGGCTGCTTTTCACCCTTTGCAAGCTTCACAGAAGCCTCGGGAGGGTGAAACATGGCAGAAAATTAGCAGGCTGGTGCAAGCATGCATGCTGGAGCTGACAGGGCAAAACCTCGTGTGCCCTCAGACATAGCTCTGTTTGCCATCACGGCTATAGGACAGGGTGCAAATCTAACAAATAATAAACGAGAAGAGTGGTGAGCCCAGAGCTATAAAACAAGGCTTGTGTATAAAGATAAAGTTGTGGTTCCTGTTTGGGAGAAGAGAAAAAAGGTCTAAGGGAGCTTCCCTGGAAAACCAGAAGAGAAGGCCCTTGGGGACCAGAGCTTCATGGAAAGGGATGGAGGGAGCCCACTAGCTGCAGGGAGTGGCTCAGCCATAACCATGCAGGGGATGGAAGCAGATCTTTGCTGATGGAGAAGCCCAGTTTTGATGGACAACTATGTGGTAGACCCCAAAAGAGGTTCATCCCAGAACAGAGAAAGAGGAAGTGTTGAGCTGAGTTAGAGAAGGAAAAGCCATGCTGAGCATGGCTTTTTTCTATAGAAGGTGATATCTGGAATTTTTTTCTTTAAATAAGTGTTTTCTCTCTTGTCAAAAAAAAAAGTGTGAGGAAGAGGATAGACAGAGGGAGAAAGTTGCTAGAGACCTAGAAGAAATCCTGAATCCAGCATTGTGTTGTATAATTGTGTTGAAAATCACCTGCTGCAAATAACTATGGATAGTATATTAAATCAGGGGCCCCAATGGGCCATGGCCTATTTGGAATTGGGCCACTCGAGTTGCTGGCCAGCCCGCTATTCCCACAAGGGCTCTGGTCACACATGCTAGTCCACTGTTCACACAGCCCAGTTCCCCTACCTCTGT